TAAATCATGGCAAATACAAGTCGATCGAGTCTCTTGTCAATAGCAATTTTGATGAAAATATTTGATCCTTCGTAGGCCAATTGAGCTACTATCATCTCTGCACATATATGAAACACTGTCTTGCTGGGTTATCAAAGGGCTTCCACTGCAACCGATCAAGACAGATTAACACTTGATCATTTCCCCCATTATATAGTAATAAAGGACCAATCTCAGCCATGCACTTCTTCTAAACCACCTTCGATATTCTCTCTTGCTTGGTAGGATGGCATGTCTTTCTTTAGGTAGTGGAATACACAATCGGTGCAGCACCATGCTAGATACAAAGTATACTACTCAAAAGTAGCATGCTTGATCAACCAGAAGCCAGCTAACTGAATAATAGTTCAACTGTTAATCCTTCAATTTTCATGCATTTCTTCATGGAGCAACTTTATGTCTTTATTCTTTGACGTAACCAACTAGAGCACGATTTTGCTTCCTTGACATCACATCGTATGCAACTCAGCTGCGCTAGTGCTGGTGTAGAAACAACTCTAAGCTGCTATAAGTCGAGTACGATTCTTGAACGTTTTCATTTCCGTCTTGTACCCAGTCTGGAATTGTTTATTGGAGGAATTCATCTTTTAATGAATTCTCGTGTACTCTCAAAATTAAAATCAAAGGAATCTCTAATTTAAAGGTTTTCTTGAATGTAACTTTCTTTTGTAACTTTTCTGCCACTTTTTTGCTGGCTTTTAATCTAATATTTTTATTGATTCTCATTAAAAAAAAAAAAAGGGGAGAGGGAATGGAACTTGGAGATTAAGAGAAACAGAAAAAGTAAAATATATCAGGAAAAGCTGACGGCATACGAAAGAAAAAGAAATTTATTGCCACAAGTAAAGGAAAACACACAAGCACAAGAAAACAGTCATTATTTTTCAACATCTGGGCATGTCTCTGCTGGAGAGTCACTTCTACGCATTTCTTGATTCTCAGCCTTGCTTCTTCCCCACAGGACACAAAAAAGACCTCCAACAATCAGAATACCACCCAATATACTGTGGCAAAACACAAGTAACAAATTAAAAACGGCAGCAGTAGAAGAAAAACATTAACTAGGTTTTTTTTTTTTTTTTTTTTTTTTTTTTTTTTTTTTTTTTTTTTGTTGAGTATTTCACTTGAAAGCAAAGCAACAAACCTCTCCCAGTTCAACCGTTCAGCCCAGAAAAATGCTGAGAAGATAGCAGTAAGCAGCAATGCAAGTGGAGTAAAAATGGCGACGTAAAAAGGCCCTTTCTTCCCTACGCACCAAACTTGGAGTCCGTATGCAGTTACAGTTACAAGTACACCCTGCATTAATTCCATTAAGCAAGCCATAAACTGAATGATAACTAGGAAAAGTGAAAATTAACGATGTTGAAGTGGTATAACAATATAATAATGTATAAAAAACTGAGACTTACACAATATACAAGGGTAGCAAGTTGAATATCCCACCTCAGCTTCCATGAGTTAAGTCCTGGCCCCAAGGCAGCTGCTATAACAGTAGATTGCACAGAACTGAAGAGACACTGTAAAGTGGAGAGGCGTAACCTGGCAGGATAAACTTCCAGCAATTTTGATTGAACGATAAGCCAACATGACCCAGATATGGTAGAAAGGATCATTAGAACAGGCCCTAAGATTAATCTCGTTCTACCCTCCAATTCATCTATAAAGAATGTTGCTTTGCTGCTTCCTGAATGACTTGGCGAGTGAGGGTGACTTCGGTAGAAGCTAAGCATCATACCTCCTCCAACAGTTATGACTATTCCAAGGATCTTTAGTCCACCGTAGAATGATCTCCAGCCTACAGCCTCCATCCTACCATTTTGAATTTTCACATCTTTTTAAAAGATTGGATTATTAAGTAATCGTCAAACCATGTTAGGATTTTTTCTTCTAAAGAAAATTCAGAAAGAAAATTTTGTTGCTTACCCGAGAAGGATAGATAAGTTAAATGTGACAACTGGTAGGCAATTATAAATGGCAGTAGCAAATGTTGCTGAGGTTAAATGCAGCGCTGAATAGTATAGATCCAAGCACATTGTTGGCCTGCATTTTCACCAGTCAGACAGCATAAATTTATCTAACGTCACTCAATCAAGATGATTACAGTTGTTTTCATCAACAAAATCCAACATTTTATAAGAAATTTGAAACAATTCAATCCTATCAAACAAAAGTTAAAGGCTTAAGCAGTTCTGTAAAACGCTGCTAGCTAGCTGATAGATCTACTCACCCTAATAGAGCAGCAACAAAAATCTTGCAGAAGAGGCAAAATGATATGGGTCCGCTGTTCTTCCTACATGGAAAATTGACAGAGTCTTAGTGCATGCACCCCATTTTACTGCTTGTTAAAACTTGCAGGAATCATCTTCCTTGAAGTAAAGCCAAACATAAAAGCAATATAACATGAAGTGCTCAAGATTAGAAACGAAAACAAAAGAATCAACCTCTCCAAAAAGAGAACAAGGAGTGCCAACACAACTGTGGCGATGGTTTGACGATAGGCATTGAGCACTAAAGGGCTCATCCCATCATTAAACGCGGCCTTTGATATTAAGGCCATTCCTGAAGAACTAAACTGTACGAAAATCATTGTCATCAAGACTTGATGACTAATTACCATAAACTTTAAAGCTCTGAAAAGCTCCATGACGCAGGCCATGATCGATAGAGAAGTGAGCTCATCAAATGGTAAAATATAAAGGAAATGAAAACCTAATGTGTAATGAAGCAAACATACAGCAGCATTGTGGCAATTAATATTATCAAATTAAACAATCTCAACTCACCTGTCATTTTCATAGAAACCATATAGATATTCCATTTGCTGATACTTATTTACCTTTTTAAGAATATTGGAGAGATGACTGGACAAAGCATAAAAGTTAAGCTTCTCTTTCGTTCTTAATTCCATGTGGGTCGAGAATATTCAAGGAGATGACTGGTCAAGCGAATACTCTAACCTATCAGTCGTTCAAGTTGATATATACTATTTATATCATTCTCCTTCAAGACTGTACGTACGATATGAATTGACAATAATGTTAGCAAATGAATCATGGAAGTAAATAAAATAAAAAGAAATAAATAATCACACTATACAAGATTTACATAGTTCTTTTTAAGTTTTCAATCGGTTACAAATATAAAAAATATTATCTATATTTATAGCATAGCATAAACAACTAGAATTGTTAAGAAAAATCATTTATGAGCCTATTCAACTAGTAAAATTATCGAGTTAATACTATGTAACTAAACTGTAAATATGTAAATTATATTTACGTCAGTTTTTATAATTCAACAAATAATGCTTCAAAATGCCTGGGTCATCCAAATTTGTCCTTTCCCCTTTCTTCTTCCTAAATTTTACACACCGTGCTGCAAGAAGAAAATGTGGTATCACAATTAGTTGGTCCATGGTCTCCAATGGTGAATAGATTCACCTAATAATTTCTCCCTTTTTTTCGCTATAGGACATTATTTCAGTTTTGTTAAAAAAATACAAAAATTATAATCCAGTAGTTAAAAAAGATACGAAAACTCAAAATGATAGGATGGAAGTTCTTTGGTGGACTAAAGATCCTTGGAGTAGTCATAACTCATAACTGTTGAAGAAGCCATGATGCTTAGCTTCTACAGAAGACACCTTAACTCGCCAAGTCCTTCAGGAAGCAGAAAAGGAACATTAATTCTTCACATATGAAATGGAGGATCAACTTGGAATATTTATCATAGGGCCTGTTATAATGTTCCTTTCTGCCATAACAGGATCAACTTGGCCTTTCGTTCAATCAAAATTTCTGAAGTTTATCCTTCTAGGTTACGCCTTTCCACTATAAATTTGGCGTGTAGAGAAGAAAGGGCCATTTCACCTTGCATATTTCTTTCTCCGCTTGCATTGCTGTTTACTGATATCTTCTCAGCATTTTTCTGGGCTGAACGGTTGAAATGGGAAAAGTCTGTTGCTTTCAAGTGAAATAGACCAAAAAAAAAAAAAAAGAACAAATTAATTCACGGTTAATGTTTAACAAATTAATTCACGGTTAATGTTTTTCTTCTAGTGCTGGCTTTTTAGTTTGTTCCTTAGTATGTTTCTTGTGTCCTTGCCTCAGTATATTGGGTGATATTCTGATTGTTGGAGGTCTTTATTGTGTCCTGTGGGGAAGAAATGAGGCTGAGAATCAAGAAATGCTTAGAAGTGATGACTCTCCAGCAAAGAAATGCCCAGATATTGGAAATAATGACTTTTCCTGTGCTTAAGTGTTTCTCTCGTATATAAACTGCTTCTCTTGTATTTTCTTTTAACAGACAAACTATCAACAGGCTGATGAAAGACCTTACAAAAAAATTTTGAATGTCATGTCAAGCACCCATAACCGATCAACGAGGAGACATAAAGTGTTAGTTGAGCTGTTAAAATAATATTCCTAGGAATGGAAGTTTGCTCTTGAACAGTACATGCTCCTGTAACAAACCGCTCCAGAATATATTTATCAGTTTGTGGTCATAGAATTACAGCAGAAAAGCAAAAGCATCTTAAGTTAGCTGGCTTCTGGTTCAAGCATGTTCTTTTTGAGTTATAGTGGGCTTGCTTCTTATCTAGCATGTTGCTGAACTGATGTGAATTCCACTAGCTAGCTAAAGAAAGAGATGTCACTGCTTCACACAAGACTGAGAATAGCTAAAGAAAGAGATGTCATTGTTTCACACAAGAAGTGGCTGAGATTGATCCTTTATCAATATTTAAAGGGCAAACTGATCAAGTGTTCCGTCTTCCGTTGCAGTGAACAAATATTGCGTAACCATGGAAACCTGTGCTTCATATGCGACAATAATACTAGTTCAATTAGCTTGTGGAGGAGCAAATATCCTCATGAAAGTTGCTCTTGAGAAAGGATCCAATCAACTTGTCCTTGTGGTCTACCGACATGTCATTGCTATGATTTTGTTGGGCCCTTTTGCTTATGTACTTGAAAGGTAAAGAACTATCTATGATTAATGTTGTTGCATTCATTTGTTGGTAATCAAGTTTCCTCATGCGTTTTTTTACAGTTAAGAAAATAACATTAGTACTAACAGAATAGCTTAAAATATCATGGATTTGTAATTACAGCTATTCGGAGAATATGAGAACTTGTAATTTATGTTTTTGCAAAGCAGGAAGCAGCGCTCTTCGCTTTCGTTGTCGGTGATCACAAAGATTTTTGTGCTTTCAACGCTAGCAACTACCATCAATCTTAATGTTTACTATGCTGGTATGGCATATACTTCTCCAACAGTTGCAACCGCTTTGAGTAATGTTGTCCTGAGTTTTACATTCATCATGGCAGTGTTACTGGGGTATTGCTCGAATGACCTCAATGAATAATCAATTCAGCTGATCCACTTTTAAGTTCACTAGAATCTAGATCCCATCTTCCTGATTTGCTTCTATCTTATTCAGGATGGAGAAAGTGAAGATCACAAGTCTTAGAGGATGGGCTAAAATGTTAGGCGCAGTTATCTGCATTACTGGTTCGCTGGTTTTCACCTTCTGGAAAGGAGGATATCTGTTCCAAAGTATTGAGAGCAGGCCATTGATAAACATTAATAGCACCAAAGGTTCTGCTGGTGAGTACAGGCATGCTAAAGAAAACTGGATCAAGGGTTCTGCACTTATTCTTACAAGCAATATTGCAGGGAGTGCGTCGCTAATTCTCCAGGTAATTATCTGTTTTATTTGAATTAGACATGTTCTGTAAGGTTTTGCTAATAATTGTGTCCTACTCACTCAGGCTGTGGTTCACAAAGTCTATCCAGCTCGTTTATCGCTGAACACTTTGATTTGCTTCTTCGCATCAATCCAATCTTCTTTCCTTGCACTGTTTTGTGAAAGAAATCCCGCAATGTGGAAGTTGGAGTGGAATGTGCAGCTCGTGACCATTATATACTGTGTAAGTAGTTTCTGCATAACTCATTAATTTGATGCTATGTAGTCATTCAAGTCGTTCATTTGTTTTTTGCTGATATATATTTTGCTATAGGGAGTAGTGATCGCAGCATTAGTCTACTACCTGCAAACATGGTGTATTAGTCACAACGGACCAGTTTTCGCAGCAATGTTTACTCCACTACAAGTTGTCTTCGTCGGAATATTCTCAGCAATTGCTTTTGCAGAAAGAATTCATTTGGGAAGGTGAGCTATTAGATGCTTGTCTTCTAACAATTCAGACCTTTAATTCTTTCGGTATCTCTACCATTATTTGTATCCTGGTATTGATTTTAAATGTATGACTTTTCACTGGATTTGCACTTGACATTTCCCAGCATGATAGGAACAGGTCTTATTGTTCTTGGCCTTTACTGTGTACTGTGGGGCAAAAGGCAGGACGAAAATGCTGCTAAGCAGCCTGATGAAGGAAAAGGCATCGGCGATAATAGAACATTGGAGATTTCTATGGATGACTACGCGTTAGCGAATCCTGACCCAAGCGAAAGGAAGTGAAGATTCAGACGTACCTGGAAGAAATCAGACACAAGGTCGTTGTCAGCAATTATTGCATCGACTCTGAAGTCACAGTGGTGTCTTGCATTTGAATAAACTTCCACGGAAGTCACAGTGGTGTCTTGCATTTGAATACTCAAAAGGACTATTCACATGCTCTCGTTTCCTATTTGCTTACTATGCATGCTAGTAAATATGATAAAAATCAAACGTAGTTTTACCATAGTCGTTAAGCTCTTTTTTTAGCTTTTTGTGAATTTTTTTTCTTTTCTTTTTTTTTTTTTTTGTGTGTGTTCATTTGGGTTTTTATTTTTTTGATATTTTAATTTAGGTCATTGAAGTTTTGATAGTGTGATTTTTTACCCATTATGCAAAAAACCTTTTTTTACTTCTTTGTTTTGGTTCTTACATTATACTTTTATTTAGATTTTTTAAAATTTGAAATTATTCTTATCGTGCTCATTTATATTGTTGTATGTTAAATTTTTTAAAATATTTTATTGAATTATTGAAAATATATAGGTTTTTTTATTTGATTTTAATACATTACTTGAAGTAAATTAGCATGTCTATTTATTTATTTATTATTTTCTTTTTTTTGTGTCTTGCGAATAAAAATATGATATTTTTTGGGAGAAATTGTTTTTTTGTTTTAATGTTTCTATATCTTTTTAGTAAAAAATTTCTTTCTATTTTGGTTTTTTATTTTTGTTATTAAAGTTTTGTCGTTTTGCATGTATATAAAATCTCAACTATTTTGTACTATGCCAAGCTAAAACAAAGATTTTTACATCTATTCGCTTGTGTCCACATAATATTTCTTTTCTTTTTTTTATCCAACAATATCTAACAAGTTTGATCATATCAATTAGACACACAAATTATAGATTAAAAAAAGGTGAAAAATATGACCATTAAAGTTTCAAGAAGCTATTACATCATTATTTTAATTGCTAGTTTATATATATATATATATATATATATTTGATAAAATACATGATTATATCAAGTAATATTTAATTAACAATATTATATTGCTTAACATTGTAGATGTTTCCTTTGAATTTTTGCATAGTCTTTTTAAATAACTATTTTGCACAAAAAAAAAATTATTGCGGTCATTGTTTTGTATTTTATTTTTGTATTATTGTCTAATAAAAAGTCATTATGAGATTGTTTATTTTTTATTCCTATAAAGTAGATTTATCTAAAATTGTTAAAATAATTTCTTTACATATTGTTTTAAACTATTTTATTACCACTATTAAATGAATTGTTAGAACTCTCTGTTTTATATAGTTGAACACATAAGAAGGCTGGCTCGGAATGCATGCTATGTAAATATACTAAAAGTAGTTTTGTTGTAGCTAAGCTTTTTTTTTTTTTTTTGGCTTTTTGTGAATTTTTTGTCCAATTTAATCCATGTTTTGTGATTTAACCTCTATTTTGGTCATGTGATTTTTGGCTCTACATGTTGCAAAGGTTTTTTGCTTCTTCATTTTAGTTCTTATTTTATACTTTTATTTTGATCTTTTAAAATTTAAAATTATTCTTATTGTCTTCACGCTTAGTCCAGAAATTCGCTTCCATTTCTTTTAGGATATTCTTTTTTTTAAAAAAAAACTCACAGTTTTAACGTGTGATTAATGCAACCGCAGATACGAGAGAGGTGCAGGAATGGATTCTTTTTTCAATAATTTTTTTAAATGCAAATTCTTCACCAAATATTTTTAATTTGTAGTGCTAAAAGGTATTGGGCCAAAAGCATGCTTGACCACTCTAGTTTTGAGTGTAAGAAAAGGGAAAACGGTAGAAACAACGATTCTTGGAAACAACACTTTCAAATATCTTTAAGCCTGGTGCTAAATTTGAAATATGGTATTGGTATAACGTTGAATCAATCACATTGCATATCGGACTACACAAACTAGCACGCATTCATAAAACCAGCTACATTGCATTTGCATTTTAATCAACAGTATGCCAAAAGAGGTTGAAGATTAAAAATAAAAGTTGCTCTGATCAAAATTTGACAAACTACTTTCTTTTATTCGATAGAGTACTATAGATCACAAAAATTGTTATTGCTGGAGTACAACATCTAAATGATTCATTATTTTAACAGTAGTATGGATTAGGTCAAACCCAGATTTCTTTCATGGAAGAAAAATACCAGGCGTAGACGTAGAGTATGAGTATTATGACTGTATGTATGAATTGAGGAGAGATTTTCCTGACTGCTTCTATGTCTTCACTTCAAGGAGTTCTCAATATCAATTACAAACCGGTACTTCACATCGTTCTTTATCATCCTCTCAAGAGCTTCATTTATGTACTGAATTGCAATTACTTCGATCTTGGGGTAAATTTTATTAGCAGCACAAAAGTTCAACATCTCTTGGGTCAACCTGGTTCCACCTGTTGCGCTACCAGATACAGTTTTCCTACCTGCCGGAATGTTAGTTTGAGCAATTAATTTCGCTTGCAATTTTTGTTATCAATGGAAGACTATCAGAAAAAAAAAAAAAAAAAAAAAAAAAAAAAGAAGTCTGGGTTAAATTACCAATTAGAAGGTTTGCAGGACTGAATTGCACTTCACTTGGGAATCCAACAAGAACAAAAACACCAGCAGTCTTCAAAAGAGACAAGTATGGATCAAATGGTGATTTGGAAGGTTTGCAGGACTGATCGCCTGATGCTGTGTCGATTATAAAGTCAAGTGATTTGGAATAAGCCTGTGTAAAAATATCAAATATCATTAGGAGAATAAATCTTTAATTTGAAATTTTTTGAACAGCTGGAAACTGGAAAGAGGCCCCATTTCATTTTCCATTTACCAATCTTGTTGACGTTGGGCATTAATGCGACAAAGACGGGCCACTCCAAGCTTGCCAAGGCTAGTGATTCACCAATCCAATTATATTAACCTGATGGGCATGGCCTACCGAACCACCTACCAGTTTAAGAAGGAAGGCAGAACAGACAGTCTTGTTGATGGATCAGTTCGCCCCAATCCACAAAAAGCTCCAATCGTTCAAACACGCTAACTGTGCAAATTGATTTATAGAACTCATTGCTGTTAAATTAAAACAGTGACTTTCAATCCAAAAGCCTTACCAAACTTCACTGCCATGTGACCCAGACCACCGAGATCAATCACTCCAAGAGATTTACCAGGTTGGTTCATCTTATGTCTCACCATGGGGTTGTACACAATTCTTTAAAATGACATTGTTTAATAAGCAAATGCATCAATCAATATAACTGCGACTAAACTGGTAAGGCGATAAAACTCCAGATGGGTCTCTCGCCGCCCATGCAAGACAGTCCTCTTTAACGCTCTCAGAGCTCTTTGCTGAGTAAAAACCAAACCACCCTAAAGCAACGACAGTAAGTAAATAATAATTGCCAACATTGTATACATCATTACCTGATCAGTAGCATCTAGAGACATTCATAAACTTTACAATAAATCAAAAATAAAACAAAGAAAGATTTGAAAAGTTTATCATGGAACTTGTCAGTAGATTTGATGATAACTAATGCTTTTAGACAGACAGCAACGTATGAATCTAAGATGGGATTGACAGATTGAAAGTTTGAGTAAATTTAGATAAAAGGGCAATCAAATTTAATGTCACGTATAAACAGTAAATTCAAAGAAATTAATACTAAATATCAAATTGAAAGAAGATAGAGAGTGTCGTTCGTTATTACCAGTTAGCAGTTGAGCAACAAGATTCAAGCTGGTGGTGCTGGAAAGTTATGGATGAGCTGGGTCCCTTGTATACGTACCAATAGTGATAATGAGTAAATTATAAATTAGTCCCTCATGTTTTGAGAAAAAAATTAGATAGTTCTCCTTGTTTCAAAAATTATTTATTCAAAAACTATTTATTCAATTCTTTTTATTCATTTTATGTTATTTTCTTATTTGATTTTTTTTATAAAAAAAAAAAAAAAAGCAATTGAAAAAACCAACCAATTTGAAGACTCCAAAATTCGACAAGTATGCTAGAACGGGATGTTGTAAAAACCATCTAACCATGTATATATGAAAGATCATATAAGAGACTAAATAATTAATTTTTTTAAATAAAAAAATTAATCAATTCGTTTCTTAAAACTAAAAATTTAATTTATAATTCACTCTATTAATAATCAAGGTGGAAGTGGATGCATTGACTAGGTTGTGCCAGGCTTAGGAAAGCAAGGACGTCAGATAATATCTTACCAAAGCACGCACGTCATATTTCATGAAACTCCATTTTCCAACTTCATTATGACTACATGGTTTAGGATTTGCTGCATCACTCTCTCATTAAGTTAAAACATGATTTAAAGTGGAGATCTTTTCAAACCTTAAATTTCTTAAAATGCGAAATCGATTGAAAAAATTATCACAGTTAGAATCATATGTTCTGATTTATTAATGTGATAAAATATTGATTGTGATGATCATAAATATTTTAACAATTATTAATAAATTTATTTTAATTTATATATTTTTATTAATTAAACATATTAATAAAATCGTTTAAATGGACTATAAGGTGTAAAGATTGAAATTTTAATTTTTTTTAATATTAATATTGTTATATAATGATAAATAAATTAAATGAATAGATATAATAGAAAGATTGATAAAAAAAATTTAAATTAAATTAAATTAATATAAAATTAAACATGATCTAATATTTATAATTAAGAGACTAAATAATTGGACTAATTTATAATTTACTCTAGTAATAATCCAGGTGGAAGTGGATGTATTGACGAGAGGTTGAGCCAAGTTTTGCTATGCATGGCCGTCAGATGATATCTTACCAAAGCACGCATGTCATATTTCATGAAGAGAAATAAAGATCAACTCTTCAATATTTCATAAATTACTCTCTACCTATAAAAAGACTATGCATGAATTGAGAAGATATTACCTATTTGCCTCTATATCATCCTCTCGGGAGCTCTAAATTAATCCTTTCTTATTTTGTTGAGTACATAAAACAAAAATAATTATTTAAGCAGTTTTTTCATTAAAAAAAAAAACTCCATTATAAAATTATTTGTTTAAATAATTAAAAATTCTTTCGTTCAAATGTCTCACGTTTTTCAAGTGATGTGAGATGGCATGTGTCATTGTAGAAGTTGTCCTTACGTCCAAAGCATGTCTCGGCGTAACATCCTTGCGTCCACCACATGTCTCGGGTTGATGTTGGCTACTTTACCTAAAGGAAATCCCCATGCAGGCCACTTGCCGACTTAATTAGGTGTCATTTATTTATTTATAGAAGTCATTTATATATTTTGCTAAATCAATATTGTACCAAAATATGGCATTTACTGAAGTACTTTATTTGATTTTTTAGAACCTACGAGATTTGGGTGCTCTTAAACTTTGATTTTTTTTTTTTTTTTTTTTTTTTTGAGAGTGATTGATTGCTGTATTTTCGAATCAATAAGATAGATCCAAAGGATGGATCTCAGACTGAAAAGTGGGAGGTAGAAGGGCAAAAATTTAGAAACAATCACTTCAACTTGAACTAGATGCCTGTGCAATATTTTATTCAAATTAAATAATTCAACAACTCTCACCTCAGCAATATTGCTATCCTTACTCTTAATTTTCTTTTGGAAAAAATAAAATTAAAAATTAGCCATCGTCTCTAAGAAAATCACCAGCCCAACCCTTAATCTCCCTAGTCCTTCCTTTTTCTTTTCTTTGTTTTATTTTGCTTTTCTTTTTAGTGGGTTAATAATTTAGAACTACATTTTAAATCTAAATTTGATTTGTACATAAAGTTCCTATTAAGGATGTTTTATCATTCAAATAAGACTTCATGTTTTTTTACTAGGTTATGGCGAATGCTTTTTATTGGTTGAGAGAGACTATCATACTCTTTGGCAATTTTGGATAGTTGAGATTTTCCTATCAATAGAGTTTGGCATTGTCGTCTATTAATATCTATAAATAGAATATTTGGATTTAAAAGATCATTACTTATTATTATTGTAAAAGGATTTTGTTGTAATTTTGTTTTATTTTTTTTAAGGTAACAAATTGTAATTATCTTCTTAGTTTTTTTTGTATTATATTGTCGCAAAGATGTCAATGAAATTAAAATCTTTCATCAATAAAATAAACTATTTATTTTTTTACATGATGATATGTGTATTTTTTTTCATGTTGATATATGCCATACGATGATCCTTAATTTAAGTTCCTGGAGGGTTGGCGGGTGCTTACCAACATAAAGATCTGACCAAATCATATATATAGATTATCATTGACTGAGGAAAACGACAAGGAGGATAGCATGCCATTTTCTTACAATAAAATTAAATCTATTTTGACATGACATGCCAATTTTTTTTTTTTTAACAATAAAATTAAATCTATTTTGATTTAGCATATCAGTTTTGATATGAAAAAATCAAATAGAATTTTATTACATTATCTCAAAATTTCAAATTAGAGTTTCCCTTCGCGTAGCATTTGATTTAGCATATCAGTTAAGACTGTAAATGTACAGTATTTTTTAAGCTTAGTTTAAAGGGTAATGGTAAATAAGTGGCAATTTATTAATTAATTTCTTAATCATTATTGATTATGATTAATTTAATATTATTTTATTTTAAAAATACTTTTTTCATTAATACTTTTAAGTTTTTACTTCTTTTTTCTATCTATTAAAACAAAACAAAAAACAAATTAAAAAGAACCAAAAGAATTAAGTTAATTTAAAAATATATGGACCAATTAAATAGTTTTTGAAATTAGAAGGACTATTGTTGCTGATTTCGAAAACATAGAGGGCCTAATTTATAATTTACTTCCCAAACGGTAAGTCGGTAAGGAACACTTACAGTTTCAAGTATCTCAAACTTAGAAATTCCTACTCATTGGCTCAGTGAAAAAGGACATCCAAGTAGCCCAGCTACGAGCTGCAAGGCATTAATTATGCAGAAAGGAACAAGCCATTTCACATGGCATGCTAGTTAAAATGGCATGCAATTGCAACCTCTAGTTTCTCCTATAAATATGGACAATCGTATCTTCATTTTCATCAGCTTGACAACTTATATATCAAAATAAGAGTCTGTTCCTTCCTCACCTAGTCATGGCTCCCACTGCTAACCTACTCCTAGCCGACCTTGCTTCTTCAGGTGTGAAACAAATTCCATCTAAGTACATCCGTCCCATCTCCGACCGTCCGAATCTCTCCGATCTTCAGATTTCGGATGGCTCCACCATTCCTCTAATTGACCTTCTGGGTCTTAATGGTCCTAACCACTCTCTAATAATCAAACAAATTGCCCAAGCATGCAAGAATGATGGCTTCTTTCAGGTAATAAAACTATGTTCATTTTTTGTTACTTCTTCCTCATTTACATCTTTCTTTTGCTTTGCCAGGACCGCGTGTAAGTGTTTTTGTTGTATTTTTGAGCTTTGCGCCCTTCTAATTAATAAAAATCTATATGCTTGTTTTTCTTACAAAATACATGTACGTACAATTGGTGTCAGGTGGAGAACCACGGGATACCAGAGGAAATGATCAACAACGTACTAAACATGGCTAGAAAATTCTTCGAACTGCCCGAAAGTGAAAGGTTAAAATATTACTCTGATGATCCTACTAAGACAACCAGGTTGTCTACCAGTTTTAATGTTAAGACAGAACAAGTTTCTAGCTGGAGAGATTTCTTGAGACTTCATTGTTACCCTCTTGATCAAGACTACATACGTGAATGGCCTAGCAATCCTCCATCATTCAGGTAATTGAATGTGTCTGAAATTTGTTTAATTTTTTCGTTCTTATTTTTTAGCTGCTGTTTAGATTAGTGGACATCATACCTTTTGTCTTTCTTTCGTTCCCGTTTTCCAGGAACGATGTGCTTGAATATTGCAAAAGTGTTAGAGGTCTAGTGTTAAGACTGCTTGAGGCCATATCAGAAAGTTTGGGGCTGGAAAAGGACTATATAGATAAGAAATTAGGGAAGCATGGACAGCATATGGCTATGAACTACTACCCACCCTGTCCACAGCCAGAGCTCACGTATGGATTGCCTGGACACACTGACCCTAATTTAATCACCATTCTGTTTCAAGATGACGTGCCTGGATTGCAGGTTCTGAGAAATGACAAATGGATTCCTGTGAATCCCATTCCCAACACCTTCATCGTCAACATTGGTGATCAAATGCAGGTGAACCTTTCTATCCTTTCCTATTTAAGGACAAAACATTTATAAAAAATGGGGTTTCAGTTAATGCAAGAGTAAATTGTAAATTAGTCTTTCTATTTTTGCAAAATGAATTACAAAGTTTTTTTTTTAAATTAATTAATTAGTCTTTTTCGTTCATTTCATTAAGTTATTTGAAAAAACAACAAAGTAATATTAAATTAAAAAACTTATTAATTATTATTTTTTAAAAAAAATTGTGTTATGATTAGGTCCTTAGCAATGGCCGTTACAAGAGTGTGCTACATCGAGCAGTGGTTAACTGCGACAAAGAACGAATATCTATACCGACGTTTTATTGTCCTTCACCGGATGCTATAATTGGACCTCCAAAAGAGCTGATCAATGATGATTATCCGGCGGCAGATTATACATATGTGAAGAATATTACGAGAAGTTTTGAAACAAAGGGCTTATCAAAGAATTAATGTTGCTTGGACTTGTTCAAAGCTTCTAATGATTCAGCTTGGGATGTTTTAAATAATGAGAGTCTCATCTCCATTTTAGCGTTAGACAATCACATATGCTCTTTTGGGTAATAAAAGGAAAAAAAGGGACCTAAACTAATGTCACTTGAGTGACGATTATATAAGCCAACCTTATCTTATTTGAGGGTGTGGCTGGCAACAAAAGAAAACAAAGTATGTTCTTCATTTTTATTGCCGATCAAATTGTGATTTGTTATTTCTGATGATGAGCTTTTCAACTAGAATAGTGTTAATAATGAAAAAGATTTTATCTATGAATATTTAAATCTTTAAATCTTTTTTTTTTAATTTTGGACAAAAACACTGTTATTTGAAACCTACAATGCCATATGTCAATCAACGATTTGTGAACATTAATAATAATGTGTCACGTTAGATGAATAGTTGACGTAGTTATAACGGAGGGTCTTAATCAATAAATTTATAAGACTAGAGGATTTTAATCAGACTGAACAATCGTATAGGGTCTCAATTAAAAAAATTAAAATTACACAAGGACCAAATGTAGGATAAACTTAAAAATTAAGTAAAAAAAGTCTGGAGTAAATTACCAATTAGAAGACTTGAAGGACTGAATTTCACTTCACTTGGGAATCCAACAAGAACAAAAACACCAGCAGTCTTCAAAAGAGACACGTATGGATCAAATGGGTGTTCGCCTGATGCTGTGTCGGTTATGAAGTCTAAGTGATTTGGAATAAGCCTGTGTAAAAATATCAAATATCATTAGGAGAATAAATCTTTAATTTGAAATTTTTTGAACAGCTGGAAACTGGAAAGAGGCCCCATTTCATTTTCCATTTACCAATCTTGTTGACGTTGGGCATTAATGCGACATAGAAGGGCCACTCCAAGCTTGCCAAGGCTAGTAAGGTATTAAGAAAATGAATATGATCAAAAGCCAGACCCACCTACCAGTTTAAGTTATTTTTATAGAACACGCTAAGCAAATGCATTGTTCAAACACGCTAACTGTGCAAATTGATTTATAGAACTCATTGCTGTTAAATTAAAACAGTGACTTTCAATCCAAAAGCCTCACCAAACTTCACTGCCATGTGACCCAGACCACCGAGACCAATCACTCCAAGAGATTTACCAGGTTGGTTCATCGTATGTTGCTTCATGGGGTTGTACACAATTCTCTAAAATGACATTGTTTTATAAGCAAATGCATCAATCAATATACCTGCGACTAAACTGGTAAGGCGATAAAACTCCAGATGGGTCTCTCGCCGCCCATGCAAGACAGTCCTCTTTAACGCTCTCAGAGCTCATTGCTTGAGTAAAAACCAAACCACCCTAAAGCAATGACAGTAAATAAATAAAAATTGTCAACATTGTATACATCATTACCTGATCAGTAGCATCTAGAGACATTCATAAACTTTTACAATAAATCAAAAATAAAACAAAGAAAGATTTGAAAAGTTTATCATGGAACTTGTCTGTAAATTTGATGATGACTAGTGCTTTTAGACAGACAGCAACTTGTGAATCTAAGATGCGATTGACAGATTAAAAGTTTGAGTAAATTTAGATAAAGTTCAATCAAATGTGATGTCATATATAAACAGCAAATTCAAAGAAATTAGTACTAAATATCAAATTGAAAACAGATATATAGTGTCGTTTGTTATTACCAGTAAGCAGTTGAGAAACAAGAAATTAAAAAGGTTGTGCTGGGAAGATAACGATGAGCTGGGTCTCTTATATACGTACTAATAGTAATAATGAGTAAATTATAAATTAATCCCTTGAGAAAAAAAAATTAATTAGTTCTCTTTCTTTCAAAAACTATTTATTTATTTCTTTTTATTCATTTATTTATTTATTTATTTTATTTTTGTGTCTAGCTAATAAAAATCTGATATTTTTTTTGGAGAAATTGGTTATATTTAGGGTTGTAATGGAAAAGATTTTATAAATTTTGATATCAAATATGAATAAGAAAAATAATAAACCCAAATAAAAAAGGACTAAATTAAATTCTTCAAAATTTTAATGTTCCTAAGCCCTTTTTTGACTTTTAGCTAAATTTTTTTTTCTATTTTTGTCCATATTAGGTGATTCTTATTTTGTTTTCATCATTAAAAATTTGTTGTGTGCTTTTTACTTCTATCTTAATGCATAGCGTGTGTGTGTGTGTGTTTTTTTTTTCAATGTTCCTATATTTTTTTTGTCTTTTAGTAAAAAATTTCTTTCTATTTCGATTTTTTATTTTTGTTATTAAAGTTTTATCATTTTGTATGTATATAAAATCTCAACTATTTTGTACTTGTGTCAAGCTAAAATAGAGTTTTTTACATCTATTCACTTATGTTGACATAATATTTCTTCTTCTTTTTTTAATCCAACAATATCCAACAAGTTTGATCATATCAATTAGACAAACAAACTATAGATAAAAATAATAATAATAAAAGGTGGAAAATATGACCATTAAAGATTTAAAAAGTTGTTACATCATTATTTTAATTGCTAGTTGTTATATATGTTTTTTGATAAAATACATGATTGTATCAAGTAACATTTAATTAACTTTATTATATTGCCCAACATTGCAGATTTTCTTTAGAATTTTTTTTGCATAGTCTTCTTACAAAATTGTTTTGCACTTAATTTTTTTTATTATAGTCATCGTTTTGTATATTATTTTTGTATTATTGTCCAATAAAAAGTGAATATGAGATTCTTTATTTTTTATTCTTGTAAAGTAGATTTATCTAAAAGTTTTAAAATAATTTCTTTACACATTGTTTTAAACTATCTTGTTACTACTATTACATGAATTGTTAGAACTCTCTATTTTATATAATTGAACACATGAGAAGGCTTTGTAGCTCACTTTGTGGAATTGTGCAGAATGCATGCTAGTAATATACTAGATGTAGTTTCGTTGTAGCTAAGCTTCTTTAATTTTTTGGCTTTTTGTGAATTTTTTGTTTGATTTAATCTATGTTCTGTGATCTACCTCTATTTTGGTCATGTGATTTTTGGCTCTATATGTTGCAAAGTTTTTTTGCTTCTTCGTTTCGGTTCTTATTTTATACTTTTATTTCAATCTTTTAAAATTTAAAATTATCCTTATTGTCCTTGTTTTTATTATTGTGTTTCCATTTTCATTTAAAATATTTTATTGAATTATTGAAAATAAGCTCTTTGATTTGATTTTAAAATGTAACTATAGTAAACTAGCATATCTATTTATTTAGATAATTTTTTCTATCTTGCAAAAAAACAATGCTTGTTTTTTTTTTTTTTTTTTTTGAGAAATTAGTTATATTTAGAATTGTATATGAAAGATTTTATAAGTTTTGATATCAAATAAGAATATGGAAGAATAACAACACCAAAGACTTAACAAAAAAAATGACTAAATTAAACTTTTTATTTCTAAATAAAAATAATGTAATCTCTAAAATTATACTATTCCTAAGCCCCTTCATTGGCTTATGGCTAAATTTTTTTTTCTTTTTGGTTCTTGTTAGGCAATCCTTATCTTGCTTTGATTATTGAAGTTTTTTTATGTGTGATTTTTTTCCCTACTTTATGCACAATGGGTTTTTTTTTATTGTTCTTCTATTTTTTTTTTAGTGAAAATTTTCTTTTTATTTTGGTCTACGTTATGTGAATTTTTTTTTTTTTTTTTTTGGTCAATGAAATTTTGTCATTTTACATGTATATAAAATCCCTATCATTTTGTACTACATCAAGTTAAAGCGAGAACTTCTTAGGTCTATTTACATATCTCAATAAAATATTTTATCACACCAAGATGAACAAATTATAGATAAAAAAAAGAGATAATGAAAACTATGACCATTCAAGATTCAAAAAGCTACTACATCATTATTTTAATTGTCAATTAGTACACATAGATAATTATTTTAATTGTCGGTCATTTTAGTAATATTATATTTCTCAACTTGGGATCCTTATTTTATTTTATTTTTTGAATTTTTTTAAAAAATTTCACTTAATCCCTTTAAATAATTGTTTTACACAATGCTTTTTATTGCGAGTCATCATTTGGTTTTTTTTTTCTTATTATTGTTTGATTAAAAAAAATCAATTTAAGACCTTTTATTTTGCATTCTTATAAATTAGATTTATCTAAGAATTTTGAAATAATCTATTTTTATATTTTTTTATTACAACCATTGTATAGATTGTTAGAACTCTTTATTTTATACGATTGAATACATAAAAATACCGTTTAATTGACATCACGAGCAACGCGCAAGATGCACTAAATACAATGACTTGTTTTAGTACATAACTGAAGTAAATTAGCATATCTATTTATTTAAATAATTTTTTCTATCTTGCAAATAAATAATCTGGTTTTTAATTTTTGAGAATTTAGTTATATTTAGGATCGTATATAAAAGATTTTATAAGTTTTGATATCGAATATGAATATGGAAGAATAACAACACCAAAGACCTAAAAAAGACTAAATTAAACTTTTTATTTCTAGACGAAGATAATGTAATCTCTAAAATTTTATTGGTCCTCGAGCTCGTTCTTTGGCTTCTCGCTAAAATTTTCTTTTCATTTTGGTTCTCGTTATGCGATCCTTATTTTGTTTTGATCATTAAAGTTTTGTTATGTGTGATTTTTGTTCCTACCTTTTGTATAATGGGTTCTTTGTTTTATTGTTCTTATGTTTTTTTAGTGAAAATTTTCTTTTTATTTTGGTCTATTTTATGTGATTTTTATTTTATTTTGGTCATTGAAATTTTATCATTTTACATATATATAAAATCTCCGTCATTTTGTACTCGCATCAAGTTAAAATAGAGCTTCTTAAGTCTATTTGCGTATCTCAATAAAATATTTTATCACACAAGACAAACAAACTATAGATAAAAAAAGAGATAGTGAAATTTATAACCATTCAAGATTCAAAAAAATGTGTTAAATCAATATTTTAATTGTCGGTTTTTATACATACATAATTATTTTAATTGACGAGTTGTTATGCATATTTGTAATAAAATGATTGACTTTATCAAGAAACATTAATGAGCAATATTATATTTCTCAACTTGGTGGCGAGCTTATTTTATTTTATTTTGAATTTTTTAAAATTTGTTTCACTTTGTCCTTTTAAAATAATTGTTTTACACAATGCTTTTTTATTCGAGTCATCATTTGTTTTATTATCATTATTGTTGTTGTTGTTTGATAAAAAAAATTGTTATAAAATAAATAAAAAGAATAGGATAATTGAAGAAAATGATGACAAGAAAATGAAATCACTATAATGTGAATATAAGTGATAAGAACTTCAAAATTTCTCTTATTCTCTCTAGAAACTTGTACACTAACTAATGAACAATCAAACCTATTTATAGGCTTCAAAATTGAGAAAAGAATTGGAAGGGACTATAAATAATCAATTACATCACCCTTTCAATTTCTCATATTGAATGATGAATTGAATCATATTAAGAATCATGAGTAGTGGGGATATGAAAAGTGGATAAACATGATGATGGACATTTATTATTTCATAACACTTATCCATTGTATAAGGAACATGTCTCGTTAAAACCTTACTAGGAAAAAACTCAATGGAAAAAAATCCTAATGAAGGAAAAAGAGTATAATATTCCTTGTACATATTAATCTTAGTGTTTGCCTTTGGCCTTCCCGTGTTGAAAATATCATTTGAGATCTTTAAAACGATGTATTTCAATCTTGTGAATCATCTTCTCAAAAGTTATGATAGTTAATGCCTTAGTGAACAAATCTACTTGGATTGTCACTTTGATATATTCTTCCTTCAATGGAGTTATGCAAGTAGCATTATCCTCGTATGATGTTGTTAGAACTTTTTTTGCTAATAGATAAAGCCGCATGTTTCTCGGATATGATGGATCGTTGATCTTAGCCAAACTCATTCTCGACTTGCCTTGTAAATTGATATTTCTACATGATTTGAAGATGTAGCGGCCTATAGTTTACTTCATAGAATGTCAAGGTATAGTTGTATCTTCATATGTAAATATATAACCGGTTGTGATCGAGCTTTGTGTGGATCGGATAAATAACTCGCATCCGCATAACCAATTAATCTTGTCTTTGATTTATTAGAGTAATATAAACCCATATCAATTATTCCTCGAAGTTAATGTAGTATATGTTTAATTTCATTCCAATGTCTTCGTGTTGGAGGAGAACTATATCTTGTCGAATATTATTAGTAAGATATATCAATATTCGATAAGATATATCAATGCACTAGTGGCACTAAGATATGATACTTCATGATCGAGTAGTTCTTTATTATCTTCTCGAGATCGACAAGGGTCTTTTTAGATTTCAAGTGAACGAACTACCATTGGGCTACTCGATAAATGATTTTTATA